CCGTACAGGCAGCAACGCCTTTTCCATCCCTTTTCACCTCCCCAGCCAGTGTCAGGTAGCTTACATAACTCGAGCAAGAGCTTGTCTGTCCTATGGTTGGCTGCTTGGCCTTGTCTCTCTCACGCGTCCTCCGTACACACCGCAACACTGCGCAAACTATCAACCGCGACAATTTACAATCTCTACGCCTTCGCCATGCCGTCTCCGCCAATGTTGAGTGAGGAAGCCGTCCAGCATGTAGGTCGATGATTCAGGTCAATGTACCATCATGCTAAGCATGGTCCAGCTCCACCGCGCGTTTTCCACCGCGCAACTTTACATGGATAAGACTGCTGCCGCAGCCACGCTACTCGTAGCGGCACTCAACCGTACGATCCCCAGATCGTTGTAGGCGTCCATAGTACTGACGACCTGCCTAGTTGCATATGGAGATGATTTATACGACATCATTGCCTATAACGCCACGCTCGCGGACGCGTCGCCAACCTCAGACCCGCGCCGGACAACGCTTCAGCCGGAGGAAATCGAGGTACGCAGTGCCACGCAGTGCAGAATCGAAACACGGAAGCAGCTCGCGAGAGGGTTGCAAACTCTTTATACACGTAGGAGCGTGGGCTGATTGTTCGTGTTGAATCTAGGTCCAGAAACCGCCGCCAATGCAAGAACGTGAGGCAACCCGCAAGATGGAAATCGACGAACAGACACTGAGAAAGAGAAAAGGAGAACCAGAGCGTGGCACCTTGTCGCCGTACAAGAGGGCCAAAGCTTCCTGAGCGGTGCACTGGAGCGCCCCGGAAACGATGCGAGTCCGTGGCAAGCGAAACAGTCGTCACGGATACACGGGAATCAGTTAGGGAGGAGCAGGACCATGGGAATGGCAGGTTGACGATGAGTAGTAGGCGCGTGTAGCTCTGTGACGAAGGTCTCTATAGAAGTAGTCCAGCCTGTAGCTATTGGGCCGTGTTCATATGAAAAATCTACACTAAACATGATTCTGTATGTAGGAGCCGCGGACTGAACCTATGCCAGCGTCCGGTCTCTTCCTGTCCTCCACCGTGCGGTCACCAATTCTCCCCTCCGAGCATGTCTGCCAGCCGTGCGAAATCGTCGCAGGTTCCCTTAAGCACTATGTCGAAACAGGCCATCACGTTCTGCTTCGGTAGCTCCTTGTTGATCCATATGGCCAGGCCGATGTTTTTGCGGACAACTTCGGCCATGCTTCTCACCAGGTCGCGTGCGCCAGGCACGTCCAATGCCGTCCCGGCCACGATCAGGGCATCAGGCATGGCCTCGAGATCGTGTGCATGAACCTTGCCGATGGACTCATTCTCCCAATCGGCCTCCTGGTCGTACAGGAGGATGCGTGGGCGCAGTCCCCCAGGGTTTCGACCTCTCTTGCCGGCGGCGACACGCTCATCCTCGGCGATCTCGCACAGCCGGCAGACGGGTGGCGTGTTTCCGACGAAAAGGGACAGATCGGTGGGCAGAACGTGTCCGTTCTTTGTGCACTGCGAGTAGTGCAAAGTCCCGTGAAGCTGGATTGTATTGGGCCACGGCCCGCTGGTCGTCAACGGAGTTTGGGTGAAGAGATAGGGCAGCCTCAGCTCCAGTCCGTCAATGTTCTGTGTATAGAGACGGACTAGACGGCGGTCCCTAGCAAGAGCATCAACCCAGTGGTGAAAGGGTGTCGGATTCGAAGCCGACGCCTGCACGCACGCCTCGCGTAGGAACTCGTGGAAGGCTTCCAGCCTCGCGTTGTTGTGATAGACTGCCTCGGAAAGATTGAGTTTCCCGCCGAATCGCTGTGCTAGTCCAGAGGGGTCCTTGAAATCGGCAACTTCACCACAGCGTCAGCACAAGCAGATACACGCAGGGAGAGATGTCGCACTTCCAGCGGACGTCGAGATGCCCGCTCCCGCCACCACGATGAACCGAGTACAGGCCGTGAGGCTTTCTTTCAAGAGCGTGAACTCCTCGGTGGCTTCCTTGTCGTACACGGAGAGCAACCGTTGCTCCATGTTTGCAGTTCGTTCATCAACAGCGCGCAGAGAGAGATAGTCGGGCGGCGAGAGCACGAGAGGAAAGTGAAGGCATGCTACCAAGACGTGTATAACCATGCACCGCAGCTCGCTTAGCTGCACGCAGGGGACCTAGCAGCTACTCTGAACACGGCAGTCCCAAACCGAATGCCAAAAGCACTATCCCAGTTGCCATCAGGCAGTACAGTATATCTAAGGGCCACACGCCAACGAAATGCCACCAGAAGACCCCAATCGTGCCTTGGCCTTCCCCATGAAGACTCCTCCGTTTACCGTCGTGGACTGGGTTAGAGGGGGACAGACGGGCATGGGAGGGTTCCTCAATCGGGTCGGAAGACTGACTGGCCGCATGGCGGCCAGTCACCATGATCCTATCGCGGTGGAAATCTGCAAGTGCTGCCAGAATGATCGCCG